ACCCAGCAATCCCACTTTTGGGCATTTACCCCAATGATCACAAGCAAGACCATACCAAAGCTACCAGCACAACTATATTTATTGCAGCATTATTTATCATAGCTAAGATATGGAAGCAACCCAGATGCCCCTTCAGTAGATGAATGGATCAAGAAAATGTGGTATATAGATATAGATATAGATATATACACAATAGAATTCTATGCCTCCATCAGAAAGAATGACTTTGCTGTTGTTATATTAAGGCCTACTTTCTTCTTCTTCTTCTCCTCCTTCTCCTCCTCCTTCTCCCCCTCCTCTTCCTCCTCCTCCTCCCCTCCTCTTCCTCCTCCTCCTCCCCTCCTCCTCCTCCTCCTCCTCCTCCTCCTCCTCCTCCTCCTCCTCCTCCTCCTCCTCCTCCTCCTCCTCCTCCTCCTCCTCCTCCTCCTCCTCCTCCTCCTCCTCCTCCTCCTTCTTCTTCTTCTTCTTCTTCTTTCTGTACCACTGCTAAGTAGTTCCTCCAACTTTAACCTAAATTTTATAAACAACAATTCATATTAATGTCTAAAAAGCATTCATTGACGTATCATTGTCTAAACTGCAAAGGATCTTAGAACTGTATGAAAATGGTACAAGTAGAAACTTGAGAAAGTCGTAATTTATATTCTGAGGAAAAATAGTCAATATATGTAAAATGCATTGCGATTTAAAGAGATCAGAATGTAGGAAATGCTTTTGGGTAATGAACTTTGATAAAACATGAGTAAAATTTGGGGAGACCTGAAAGAACAGTCCCAACTTCTTATCTAACTTATTTTGCTAGTAATAGTCTATGTTGGTAGTTACAGCTTCTGTTATTACTCCTTATAACCTGTGGTCTAATTATACTACAGTCTTAAAACTTGTCATTTTGCCTCTATGTTGCATTAGGTTTCTTTTATTGGTACTAAATTGTTACCACCTTTAGTGGCTTAAAACAATCTCAATTTTTATTTTCTAATTCTGGAGTGCAGAAGTCCAACATAGGTCTTTCTGAGATAAAATCAAGGCATTGGTATATCTGCATTTATTTTGGATGATCTAAAGAACAAATTGTTTCCTTAAATGTTGTAGCTTTTAAAGACAACAAATATTCTTCAGAGACTTTTCTTCCATTTTCAAAGCATAACATCTAAATCTCTGCCTTTTAATTTCCACCCATGTAGTTTCATTCTCTGATTTTGATTTTTCTACATTCCATCTATAAAAGAATTAGCAATTACTTTAGACAATTCAATGATCATCTCCCATCTTAAAATCCTTAATTACATGTACTCAGTCCTTTTTCTCTGCAAGGTAATGTAGTCACAGTTTCTAAGGATTTTTATGTGGACATGTTTGGTGGGGGGCATTATTCTACTTAAAACTAGTTCATGAATTCTTTGTTCCCTATCCAGAATGTCCTTTCCCATAGAAAGTCTTTTCTTCATGGCCTAGATGAAATTCTTCTTCCTTTAAAAGTCCTTTCCTATGACTTCAGTAGACTCAACCTAGAACAGAATTAATAGATTTGTCCCTTCACTCCCTCAGCACATTATACTAGCCATATGGCAACAGGACCAGTCTAATTAAGTAAGTAAGCATTTATCTCCTTTATTGGTGTGTGAGCCTTCTTTATTAGACTACATTGCAGTGACTTTGTGTCCCCACTGTACCATAGCACTGCATCTTGTAACTAGTCTATGCTCAATAAGTGTTTATCAAGTGATAGGTTTGAATGCCTATGTTGTACTGAATAGAATAACAGCCATACCTACCCCTCCCTCCCTCCCTCCCTTCCTCTTCTCCCTCCCTCTCTCCCTCCCTCCCTCCCTCCCTCCCTCCCTCCCTCCCTCCCTTTCTTCTTTCCTTCCTTCCTTCCTTCTTTCCTTCCTTCCTTCCTTCCTGCTAGTATTCATTAAGCATTGAATGGAATAAAGTTGAATAAAACACACAATTGTGTTGCAGGAGCGCCAAATCTAGTAGAATAGAAAGAGATATGACTAGGTGGAGGTGCGACTCAAATGGCAAAATCTTTGCCTAGAAAGAGAGACCCTGAGTTCAAACCCCTGTACTGCCAGAAAAAAAAGAAAGATGAAGGTTAATAGTGTGGGGTAGAATTTGTTGATCTATAAAAACTTTCACAGCAAGAAGGTATTTGTTGGATCAATAATATGATGTCATTACTATCAGAAATAACTATAGCACCTTTTATTTACTAATTTGGTATTAGTAGGAGTAGTAGAAATAGTAGTAGTAGTAAAGAAACTAGCCACAGAGGAGATGAGTTTTTTACCAAAGATCATACAGTTTATAGGTGGTAAAGTTGAGATGAAAAAAATAACAGGCAGACATTACTTATAAGCACTGTAATGTACTGATTCTGTGTATGATTAAGGAGTAATTTATTAGAAATTAAATAGTTCTTTATATTCTTCATAAGAAATAGGTGAGTAGGTTTAGGCCCATTCACCTAGAATTTGAAGCCTTCTTTTTGTCTTCTTTTTTTAAATTTTATTTTATTGTAAAGATGTCATAAAGAGGGGTTATAGTTACATGAGTAAGGTAATGAGTACATTTGGCTATTTTTCTTTTTTTGTATGTTTTTGTACATTTTTTATTGTATAAATTCTGTAGAGAGGGGTTACAGTTACATGAGCAAGATAATGAGTACATTTCCTATTGAGCATTGTTGCCTCCTCCTTTGTTTTCCCCCTACCATCCTTAACTTCTAAACTAAGTGAATTAGTTTGCTGCTAGTATGAACTACAATGTGACAACCAGGAAATAAGTGAGAACCTCAACAAATGTTTGGGCACCACTTATCCACAGTTTCACTTTCCATAGTTTCAATTATAGTCTGAAAATATTAAATGTAAATTTCATAAACAATCAATGAGTTATATCTGAATAGCTTGATAAAAAAATCTTATACTGTCATGTTCACTTGAATATCTTTGACTCGTCATACTTAATTTTTTCACTTTAGGATATAAGAAATTTTCACAAAGAAGGTTGAAAAGATTACTATGGATTGACCAAGATATTAAGTCTGTAAAATGCTATATATTTTTGTTGTTGTTTTGTTTTCCCTGATAAACAGTTTCAAGAGATCACTTAAGGATTTTGGTGTCACCATGTTGGTACATCCCAAACCAATTTAATTTTAAGAAATAGAATTGAAAACTGTACTGAATGCCTGATAGAAATGAAATGAGTAAGGAAATAGTATTTTGAATGAGAGTAAAGTAAAAGATAGTTAAGCTGGAAGGGTTTTCTGTGCATAGTTGGATCTGGAGTTTCTTGGGCAGCACTGATTAAACTCACACTGAGAACAGAACTGATTCTTACTGCTAACCTGAAGGCTAAAGATATCAACTTGAATATTTCCTGCAGCTCCTGTTAGTAAGATGGCTGGGAAATAAGATTTGGGACTGGAGTTTGGGGAATATATGACTCAAGCTTACATTTTAATATGGCAGTTTCTCAGATGTGCCTGATAAATCAGCACTTTGGACTAGGGTTCATTTATGTCTTAATGTGATGCCAAGTTCCATGTTTAGCAAACAAAAACCAGGTATCATCTAAAGGTATGTTGGAATTCAAATAGCTTATTCTCAATATGATTATATAAATTCTCTGATTTTCAGATTAATATGATGGTGGCATTTGGCTGCAAGTGAATAGCTTTTGATTTTGTTTTGTAAATTAAAATGTATTTTAACTGACTTATTAATGTGAATGATTTAATCATTTGAAATATTCAGTGATGTGTGAGAGCAAAAATTGTGTCCAATCAGCATTTCAGTTTCCACATCTTTGATAAAGTCATGGTGGTGGAAAGCTGGACATGAGCAGTCCTCAGAGATCTTACAGACACTTGTGCTGTCATGAGTGAACAATATATTTAAATGGTGTTCTGAGTAGCCACTGTTTGAAATTCAGTCTTTCACCTTTACTATTTCAGTCTTATGCAACAAAAGATAAAAGTAGCAGGATAGAATGGCTAATTGCCAAAGGCTAGGAAAAATTGGGGAAAGCTGGTTAAAGCATTCAGGCTTACAGTTGTATGATGAATGTATGTTGTGAATCAAATACAGGCCAAAGTTAATAACTCTGTAATGTAAACTTTGCTGAGGGTCAATTTTAAGTGTTCTGGTCTCTTACCAAAATATGTTTACTGTATCAAGAGATAAATGTCTTAAACCAACATGATTGTGATATTTTGTGACATATATATTTATCATGGCATCACAATGTACACTTTCATGCAAATTTGTGCATTTTATCTCAAAAAAAGTAGAAAAACAAAGTACACCTTTTTCTGGGGGTAGAAAACGTATACTTAATTGAAACTTCAAGTGAAACATTTTGCTATTTGGAAACAAAAGGCAGTAAGGTAATGCCCTTCCCTGCTGATAACCTTGTAACAGAACAAACTGGTGCATATTTTTGTATTTTCCACTTTGTAGCTTCTTTTGATAGAGACAAAAGTCTTAAAATCCCATGAAGTGTCTTTTTGAGGTTTCTGAAAGAGAGTTTGTGAAATCACAAATCTTTAGAGGCATACAAATTATGGTTTCATCTTGATTAGGAAGAATAACACTGGGTAAAATTATATTCTATTCAGCATGGCATATTTTAAAATGTCAGTTAGGGGACTTTACATTAAAAATAAATTGTTAGTGAAATAGTTCTTTTGCATGGATTGTTCCAACTTATTTAAATACAACCAGGGGCAATAAATTTAGAGAAACTTGAAACCTTAAGGGAATACAAGATATTAAAACATTTTTATAGGCTTACAGGGACATCATTTGACATTACCAATTTTGATTTAATGTGAAATCACAACATATGGGAAAATATAAAAGAGACACTGGTCCTATTCTTTACTTTTTGTATTTGTCTCAATTATCTTTGACCAAAAGTTGTACAAAAATCTTAGAATATTTCTATATATCTTTTACAATGTATGTTTTTTTCTTTTAATCTTTAGGGAGCAGACTTTAAGCGCTGAAAGATGAAAGCTCCGATTCCACATTTGATTCTCTTGTATGCTACTTTTACTCAGAGTTTGAAGGTTGTGACCAAGCGAGGTTCTGGTAAGAACTGTTCCCCTCCCCTCTCCTCATGTTCATGATTTAAAATGATGATGCCACATTCACAGACGTGCCATCTGTAAGAGGTGGAGAAATGTGTGGAATCCACATTGTGGAGATATTGTAGGTATATGAGTGTATTGATGGGAAATTAAAAAAATGGGAATGGGTTGAAATGAATGTAGCTTATACTGCTGATTACTAGGAATTAGAATGAGTTCAGTGCTAAACAAATCATATAGTATGATTTCCAGCTTTCTTTCACAGTATCATTTTCAATATTATACAAAATATTATAGCTTAGCATTTCATTTTCAGTTGTGCTTAAGACACATTCTTGTTAGGATTGTATTACAGCTGATTTGCTGTGTTGCTTGGACACATTTAAGGGGAAGAATCAGTATTTTTGAAGAAACTTCCATAGGACAGTCCATAATAATTTACTAAGAAATATAAATTAGAGTATAATAGTAGGGAAAAGAGCTCTTAAAACTTTACACATTACTAAGCATCAGAGTTTCTATCTGATGGTTGATACCGAGAGTAAAGTAATGGTTAATATAATTGAGTATGTAGTCATTTAAAAATGTACCTAGTAAACCATTGATACACAAAGCCTGGCCAGGCTCCTGCTTCATGATTAGTTACAAAACTTTTGAAGTTATAACTTTTAGTTATAAAACAAGTGCATACACATTATATTTCTTGCTGCTAGATCTAGGATATGTTTCCTATTAGTTCCAGAGGGATAGTAAACAAAGATGAAATAACATTCAAGAGCTGTAGAGTGCTATAATATAACAGATGTTGCCTTTGGAATTCAGAAAGGAGAAGGAATGAAGGGGATGAGATTGGGCTGTGCAGCAACCTTATCAGTCTTTTAGGTTAAGAGGCTTCAAAATCATGTTTATGATACAGTGGAAAAGGTTACATTCAAGGAAAATAAAGAGCAGTTCTCTTTTCATGAATGCCTTCTGGAAAAACAAAACAACCTCTAAGAAGAAATTGGGAAGGGCTTTGTGTTTGGATAAGAGTTCAAGTTAAATATATTTTGTGAGTCTATTGATGATCCTTTACCATTTGGTCGTGTGTGTGTGTGTGTGTGTGTGTGTGTGTGTGTGTGTGTGTGTGTGTGTGTGTGTGTGTGTGCGCGCGTGTGTGTGTGTGTGTGTGTGTGTGCATGCCATTGTGGTCATAGGCAAGTTAAAAAAAGTGTCTTTGTATTTGCATAGTGTTTCATCTGTTTTTCTGGATTTTTTAAATGAAAGAAAACTGTAAGACTATGATTATTGATAAAACCTTAAAACATCATAAGGCTTATAATTCTTAGACCTAATTATATAAAATGCTGTTTTATTCACTTGTTTCTGTGCATATCAGATCTATGCTTTATTTATTGAAGTCATAAATAATTCAGATTTATTCTCTATAAGATCTAATTTGGGAACAAATTGTACATTTGAGAAACATGGAACAAAGCCAGAAATATGGAAGGACTGGACACTTCTTATCTCCTCCTCTAGTGACCTGGAAAAACTCAATGACCCATTTCAAATTTCATTTTCTTTTATTTTTGATGACATATTGTTTTAGGTAGATATTGCTAAAATATCAGATATTAGATGGAAATTCTGAAGCTATGTCTTCAATTTAGTAATTTGGTTGTTGCTGGGTGCTGGTGGCTCACGGCTGTAATCCTAGCTGCTCAGGAGGCTGAGTGTCCAGGATTATAATTCAAAGCCAGCCTGGGCAGAAAAATCTGTGAGACTCTTATCTCCAATAAACTCCTCAGAAAAAGCTGGAATTGGAGCTGTGGCTCCAGCGGTAGTGCATTAGCTTTGAACACAAAAAAGCTCACTGACAGGGCCTGAGTTCAGCCCCCAGAACCATCAAAAGAAAAAAAAAAGAATCTAGTTATCACATGCCTACTTGTTAACTCTCAAAAAATGTACTTTTATAACATAGTGTAAAATGACAGCTAAGGAAAGCACTGGAAATTTAGCATCTTAACTTTATTCCATAATATGAATTGTTATTCTTTCTCTCTCTGTCTATACCAACAGCATATGGACTTCCTAAATGGAAGACTGTCTGCTTGTTTGGTTGGTTTAGGGATATTAACTGTATTAACTTGAGAATCAATATTATTTTATGAAGATACTTTTATAGCTTGAGCTAATTTCAGATGATGTCTGTTACCATGGCACCTGTGAAGGGAGAAGGAGATATGCAGTTTACGGAATATCATCATTACTGATCTCCATAGATCAAGTAGAAGAGTATGTTTGGCATCTTCTTTTTAAAAGATTAATAGCTCAATCTTCATGCCCAGCCCAACCTATAAAACCAGAGACATTAATGCCAGGGAGTAAAAATCAATTTCTGATGTTAGATCTTGCATATTAACCAAAATTACATAGACTTATTTTTTTTCTTAGCATTTAATTATTTTTATTCTTGATTTATCAATCTTTTTGAAAGTTTAATAAACACAATTCAAACTCAATTCTCTTCATGACAGTTATTAGAAACATTTTTTTTAATTCACCATGGCCACTAGAAAACTGAAGCTAGATATCTTAATAATTAAGAATATATAAAAATAAGCAGGGTGACAGTAGCTCATGCCTGTAATCCTAGCTACTCAAGAAGCTGAGATTTGAGGATTGTGTTCAAAGCCAACCCAGGCAGGAAAGTCCCTGAAAATCTCATCTCCAATAAACTACCAGAAAATGGGAAGTGGTACTGTGGCTCAAGTGGTAGAGTGCTAGCCTTGAGCTGAAGAACTCAGGGACAGCACCCAGACCCACAGTTCAAGCTTCACAACCAAAAAAACCCAGTATATATAAAAATAAAGATAACATATAAAATATGATTAAAATAACAGGATTTTTATAGCATGTTAATTATGTATAATGTTTACTTCAAAATTACAAATATGATCATTTCATAAAAATTTAGAAGGAAGTATTTCTCATTAACCCAACTAATTTGAAAGCAATAGGAGCTCTTATTACACAATTTAGAGATATATTATTTCTATCACATGGCTAGCACTCCTGCTACTATTAATTTAAGGAACCTAATTAGGTAGTTATGTCATTATAATCTCCTTGTTTTAAAAAGTCAAAATTCAACTTCTAAGGCTTTGTTTTAAATGTCATTTTAGATATGTGTATATTATTGCAAATGAGGATTGGATGTGGTCTCTTGGATAATAGTATGAGTTTGTGCATACATTGAGAATGAAGGCTTCTAACATATATGGGAGAGATATTCTATTGTTACACAATAGATTTTTATCCTGAACAAGTTTATATTTAACAAGTTGATAAGCAGAACTTGAAGAAAAGCACAGATTACCAATGTTACTAACCTCCCTCCAGTATTTGAAGTGTTATGGCAATTCAATAGTAAACATTTGAGTTGCTGTCATTTGTAGAATTCCATACAAAAACATATATAAAGTAAGTGATTTATATGAGAATCTTCGTATGTCAACTAATTTAGAAAATTTAGTTTGATATGTTCTTTTTCCCTTATCTTTTCTTCTCTTCCCACCTCCTTCCTTCATTTATTTAGTGTATTTGTCTGCAAATGATTTATTTCACTGTTGCTACTGTGTATTTGGAGAACTCTGTTTTCACTGTAGAAGACTGAATTCAGTACTTACAAATGCTCAATTAGAAATAACCCCTGTTTTCACTGTATTGGATGTTGGTATAATTTGGGGAGTGAAAGGGAAAAAACAAATTGTTTAAATAGGGATACAGGTTGACCCATTGAAACAATGAAATGTAAGACGCTATGTTGAAAAATGAACTTTACAATTTCAGGGGGGAGGGAAGAATGTAGTTATGGAGATGGGAGGGAAGGGATGGTAGGGGGGAAACAAAAGAGGAGGAAACAATGCTTGATAAGAAATGTACTGGTTACCTTGCTCATGTGATTGTAACCCCTCGGTACAGCATTTTCACAATAAAAAAAACTTATTTTTTAAAAAAAGGAATCTACAACTACGTTACATTCCTAGCACTTGGTTTTTTGGAAACAAAGTTACTATATTACTCAGGCTGGCCTTGAATTTGTCATAACCTCTCTGCCTCCCAAGTGCTGGAATACAGGCCTGAACTAACATGTCAATTTATTTTAATGATAAAATTCCATCATTATATTGTTTAAAAAGATAATATCTACAAAATGCTGTATCTTTTTCAGGACATTCAAAGAAGATAGTATGATATAGTGTCTGTAATTAGTGGTGTCTGTAACTAGTGGTTTGTTTGAAAGTATATACATAATGTATGTGTGTATGTGTATATAAGTTTTTAAATAAGCTTTTATTGTGAAAATACTGTACAGAGAGGTTAGAGTTACACGAACAACGTAATGAGTACATTTCTTATCAAGGATTGAATTTGAGGTCAGGCTCAAGAGTTGTAAAATGATATGAATTGTTGAAAGACTGTTATTTACTTAGTATTACTATACCATTTTGGAGGAACTAAAGAGTGAGTGGAAGAATTTTAAATGATGAAGAGAAATGAAGCTGGAGTATCCTAGATATAGAAAATAAGAAAAAAATCAATGATCATTTGTGTTTTGTGAGTGCTCTGCTTTTATATTCATCCCTAGAATGTAAGATGGTGAGTACCAGAACCATTTATGCTTGTAATCTCTATAGTACCAAATATGGTATAGCTTTCAAAAATTCATAAAAATGTCTCAATGAATTAATGAGTACATAAATGAGTGACTATGTAATTTTTAATTACAGGCTGAATCATGACAGTGAAGATACTATAGGACTAATACAGTGTTATGAAAATATAGATAAATTAAAATAGAAGCATTTAACCAAACATGTATTTTTACTTAAAGAGCAATCAATATAAGGTACAATATGAGAACTTTGATGCAAAAACAAACTCAGAATAAACAATATGTACAAAATAAAGGCAATGAACCATTGCAAATATTGAGTGTTTGCACAGGCCTAGTCA